TCAAGACACATGAAATGCTCTATAGAAATACTACCAGGAATTCACAAAGCCACCATCAGTGAGACTTGGTGACGGTAGAGTAGTCGATGCACAAGGACTCGTTAAAATGAGAATGACTTTCAAAGTTAGTGATGTCACAATGTATGATGTAGTGCATGTTCCCAAGCTGTCAGGGAATCTTTTCCTTATTGATTATAACTCTCTCATTTTTAAAACATTTCATGGACGGTGAAGACACGTTCAATTTTAACAGCAGGTCCAAAATGTCCTAAAGGTAAGCAGTTAATAATACCTGGAAATGAACCAGTTATAATCATTTAACTAAAGATCATTACTTGGTTTGAATTAAATATTAACAAACTATAACTTCCGGTTATCAATATATCACTGATCTGCTGGTAAAAACTGAACAGCATATACAGCATGTCAGAGAGACGCTTCCAGATAAAGATAAAAAGAGCTGATTATCATCAGCAAAGCAGGTATGAGATTAAATCAAAGGTTAAGAATATATTTAACTTCATATTTGGCTTTTATTTTGTTACATCTCAACAATAATCTATGGATGCAAAGTAAATGTTCTGACTTTTGATTTTAAAAAGATTCTTAATATAAGTTTCCAATAAAATCCTTACTCTACATTCTACTCAATGATATTTCTGAATCTATAATAAACATAAAACATAATTTTTTGTATTAAAATAAAAAAAGACTCACAGAAGAAGATCAAGGAGCAAAAACTGAAATAGTTGTTCATCTTGAAGTGCTGATGGTTTTCCACCGCTTCGTTTAAATCCTTCTAATCTAATTTCAACTTCCTTATTTGAATGTCACGCCCTGCCTCTTGGTTAAATATGTTATGTGTGTTGTTACTGCTGACGTTTGAGACCACCATGAGAAAGGGGGAAGTGTGGGCGTGGATTGTGTATAAAAGAACAGGTAGGCCTATGTCCTTTATGCAGAACTCCTCATCTCCTCATTGCGGAGATGATGAAACTATGGAGAGATATTTGTGCCATCGGTTTGAGCGCGCAGGAACCAATCCGAGCGCGCAGTGAGACAACACGCGCGCGCGCCAAACCTGTATGGCGCGCGCTCAACTCTGAAAAACCCTCTCAACACAAGCTGTGTGAAGCTGACAAGCTGCGTGAAGCTGACACCCCACCCACGTGAAAAACCTCAAATCTGCACTAACGTAGCACTAACCATTCAGTCTATTTGCTGATGTTTTTCACGTGGGTGGGGTGTCAGCTTCACGCAGCTCCTGCTGTGCCCTCAGCTGTTTCTCCTCTCGCTCGACTCTCTGCGGTCGCGACTTCAGCAATGTATGTAAATGAACCAAATCATCAGCCAATCACGCTCAGCTTCTTTTCATCCAATGAAAGCATTCGTTCTTCCGGTTAAATGGAAAAAAATAAAATAAAAATATAATCAGGAAAATCAAAAAACTCTTACAGTTATTTGTTCAGCACTCCTAACCATTTGATGGACAGAAGATAGTACTATAAAATATCTTGAATTATCTCAAATAAGCTTCAGTAAAACAGTTATTAGATCATTGCCTCATCCATCTCATTTACCTGCTATTGACATGGATTTCAATTTGCTGTTTTAAAAGAAAAATGAGGATATTTCACTTTCAAGTATGGTTCAACAATATATAGATAAAAAATATTATGGATATGTTACATTTTTTATGGATGCTTCAAAATATTCTTATATTAGGAATGGTGTTCCGATTTTTAAATCGGGTAAAAGAATCAGCGATCAATAACCGGATGTAGTATTTGGAACTAATGCTTTCATTGGGTGAGAAGAAGCCGAGCGTGATTGGCTGATGGTATGGTTCATTTACATACATTTCTTGCCATAGCGGAGAAACAGCCGAGCGCATATAGCTTTGCTGCTCTGGCTGCGCG